CTTGACCTCCCACGAACTTATAAATACTATCATTTTTATACTTTACATTTACTAATTAAATTAAAAATAAAACATATATAATATTAAATTTAAATTATTAACTACGTTTTGATGCCAATTTCATTGATGTAAGTAGTAAAAATGTTATTTAATAAAATTTTGAAAATAACGCTCCAAAACGTCGTGACACGTGCACTTTAACGTACTCGGGGCTAAAGGGTTAAAGATGGTTCACTTCCTGAACACTACAGTAGGTATGCCCGCAAGATCTAGAGTAGAGCCCCTCAATTTTTTTAGCCCATCTCAACCACTTCGTTGAAAAAAAGGTTTGTGCTTTCCCTTTTACTGTTGGTTTCAAACATTTTTTTGTACGAGAACCACCTGAATTTCATGGAACCGTCTCAAACATTTGTTATACGTGAACTACCTGAAATTCATGGAACTAAACATTATGTTGCATTTCCCTTTATTTGAATATGCAACTTTTTCTCGAACCACCTGAAGAGAGATTGATTGTTTATTTGTGATTAAGCACAAAGCTACACAATGGTCTATCTGTGCGATGCCTACCACGGGTATCGAAATCCCGGTTTCTAGCATTGAAATCCGCTGTGCCACTGGAGGCCCTTGAAGAGAGACGGCGGACCACAAATTGAGAACCGCTGAGACGGTGGAATGAGAATTTTCAACTTTAATATTCGTTTTCTTACATAGGTTATAGATAAATTGTTAGAACCTCTTTTAATAGTCTGTTTTCTTAATATATGATGTATACAAATTAAAATTAAATATTGCTATTAGCTTCAGTTATTCGCATACCATTTGCCTAATTAAATTTAAAATTAAAACTGTAAACACAGTTCATGCTTTTTTTGTTCAAAATTTTTTCTGAAAGGTAGATAAAGGGAATAACTGTCCCCAATTCTGAACAGATAAGGCAGTTAGTCATAACCCTACCCCCCGCCAAGTCTTGTTTGTGCAAATAGTGGGGCTTGACCATCATTTCTATAGCATAACCACGACCTCATTGCAGAAAAAGTTTGTTTGTTTGTATTTTTGCGTCATGAGCCATGAATCCTCGATTTCACAGTCAAGGCATGCTAACCGTTAGGCCACGTACGGCCCTAGTTCGTACTGTATGTGGTAATATAATGATTAACTATAAAGTTTAAAGTAAATACAACCCGTGCTTCTGGCTGTTATTCAATAATTAATTTTAATCATAAACTGTAAGTAGTCATTAAATTTATGAGAAAATAAAAATGTTTAAATGATACAGAACGTTATTTTAAAGCTTCAAGAACCAGAGAAAGTAAATATATATATACGAAATACGGTGTAACACTAGCATCAAAGTCTTATCCCTAACTTCGGGTTCTGTACATTTAAGTAGTTTGGCCTTCATGTATTTATAGTTGTTAACTCATGAATGTATTAATTACTTGGATAAAGTTTGTTTGTTGTTAAGTGCAAAGCTATACCATGAACTATCTGTGCTGTGCTCCTCCAGAGTATTGAAACCTGGTTTTCAGTGATATAAGCCTTCCGACTTACCGCTGAGCCACTAGGGGGCTTTGGTTACAGGCTTGTTTGTTAGTAATTAAGCACAAAGCTACAAACGGGCTAACTGTGCTCTGCCCACCACGGGTATCAAAACCCGGGTTCTAGCGTTGTAAGTCACAGACATACCGCTATGCCACCTGGGGGGGGGGGGGCTGGTTACAAGCGTTTATTTATATATAACAGTTTTTTTTATGACACACAAAGCATGTAGTAATATGTTACCTGATCGATGTCAGTGTAAGTTATTCTATCAGTTCTTAAAATAGAAAAGTATTTTTATTCTTCGTTAAGTGTGTTTCTCATTAAATTATTGATTAAATAATTTCTTTAATTTCCGATTTATCAACTCCTTACGCAATTACTTAATATAATATTTCATAAAACAACACTATGAATGAAAATCTTGTGTTATTCTCAGTTAAATCAATATTCTTACTCTTCTTGTAAAGTTTACGGTTAAGTTAAATGTAAAATTAGAACAAAATCACACAGAAACAAGAGACATGTATGCATTAAGGCACTTAAAAATTAGAATAATAATATAACATTCAACAAAACAATGATGCAAATGTCTTGAATATTGGTATTTTTATTCTGAACAAAAAATATTACGTACAAAACGACTAGGTGAAGTTCAGTGTCATAAGTTGGTATACAAAACTTAGAGATATGATTATACAAATCTGTTGCTATATCAAACAAAAGTGGAAGTTCCATTAAAATACTTCGCGTTTCTTTTCTATAAAATATATTATACGAAAACGGAAGACTCACACAGTTGTTTCTTGTATATATATATATATATATAATATAAATCATTATATAACAAGTAAATAGTTGAACCGCTAAATTTCTGGAATTATAAGCAAAATTCGCTGAATTAGAAAATAAATCAAGCTAAAAAGTATTGAATTAACTAGAAAACAAACAAACAAAAAAGAGTAAAAAGCGAAATGTCCTAATGCAATATAATTTTATTTAATATTACAGTGTTTTCAAAAAGGCTTTATTCTGTGCTATCTGATATTACATACATGCACAGCTATTTGACCACGAAAGCTGGTGAATCAAACTCTCCACTAGTAGTCACGAGAGAACAATGGAACATCACACTGTTTATCTTTAGAAATATTTGTTATCGAAATGTACTGAATTTTTAACTAAAAAAAGAAGTTTCGTCATTTGTTGACGTATCTCATTATGACGCAAAAGTTTATTACAGCGACATCTATAAAGAATGTGAAATGCAACCCTTTATGCAAAAACTATTTCATGGTTAATTCTAAACAAGTATATTTTTTATTACAAGTTAAAATATAGTTTGATTTACCAATATATATATATACCTAATTAATATATTTATTTCTTTATTTGTTTAATGATGAATATTCCAGATTTCTATCTCAAATCAACAGACGTTTTTATACAATGTTCTTAATATGTCGATTATAATTATGAATCCAAATTTTATCTTTTACTCAGTGTTTTAAGTACAAGAATATGCTATTATGTCAGTAAAATTTATTTTATATCAAGATTGTCTCTGTTGTTAAATACGAAGTTATAAGTGACTTCGTTTAATTACGCGATTTGACAACATAATTTGGCCTCGTACCACTTTTTTTCAACAATTGTGTATACAAATAAAGCACACGTTTTGAACATTGTACCACAAATGTTTGAATTTTCGTTGGATTTATTGGAAGTGTTCTAAAACACTTTATAGGAAAGGTACAATCTGATGATGTACCTGTACAAGTGATACAAGATGGCGCCATATGTACGATATTCATAAAATATGGCGTACCTGAATGAGTAATAAAAGGTATTCAAACAATAACATATTGTACACAGTAAAATAAAATAAAATAAACATACACACACACACTCAAAATATTGATATCAGTATTTCTTATACCGGACATTGGAAAGATAATGAAGGAATGTGTGAATTTAAACGTCAGTTGCAGATAGTACGAGCAGTAATTAACTTTTAAATTTTGTACCACAACAACTGTAGAACGATGTATATAACCTCCGTTTTCTCAAGCAAGACTAACTAATGAGGTTCTAACTTGAAAACCGTAGAGGTGAAAACGTACATACGATCCTCCGTTCATTTAGGAGGAGGAACATTTGCGGCAAAACTACCAACCATGTTGCCTGCAGGATTGTAGTTTGCAACTACAATTATCTTGTTAGTTTTGCTTCGTGCTTGAGCCACTCCCAGTTCGGTACTAGAGCGCCAAACCACCTGCGTGAAATGACCTGAAATTCAAGTAATTTTATCACTTTAAAAACCGGAAGACTACTTTTTAGATTAAAAAGGAAACAAAACAGTAATATAAATATTCATATATGTGCGTATACACAAAAAATTCTTCCAGTTAGGTCTAGTCTTGTATTACAACTCCCATGTACTTTAGGTGTTTCACTAATTGTCTAAAATTAAACTTCCCCTTCTTAAATTTTGACCAACTAGAAACTACCTGACAGAAATCTTAAAGTGATGCGGATGAAATTTATTTTTTATGCACCTTGTATAACAAGAGATTTAGAAACTGAACAGATACAATAATAAAACGAATCAGCATCGTTTTTTGTGGATTATTTACGGAGCTCTTCAACCAGGTAGCGCTTTAGTAGGTCAGAAGCGACTTCTCAGCTATAAGAATCCAACGCCCTCTATCTCGCTAAGACCGATTAGCAATCGGATATTGGTTGAATGTAACTACTGAATGAGTTGGGTTACTTCTCCGCTTGAAGAAAAAACTAAATTGAATTTTTATGTATAGCAGCTACTATATGTACTTCCGCAGGGTCCCCGAAAGTGTTCTGTTTCATGAGTAAATAAAACCCAAATTAAGAGTAAAAAATATTTTACCTCTTGCTTTTGAAGTTTATATGTGCATAATTCTTCTCGTGATTCATGGCATGCGCATCTTTTACTGACGTCACGACAATACAAACTACAACGTTGAGCGTCCCTTTATGTCTACTGACTGACTGACAGACAACAGGTGATCCCTACAGGCAGCCTTCGACCACCTGTCGGGAAAACAAGGGCGCCAACATGTCGATTATAGAAGAAAATAAAGAAACACTTTGCAGCCAGTAAAGTTAATTCATCTTACTCACTCTGACTACATACTGGAATTTACCATCCACAAGAAATGTATAAAAAACTTGCTGTGTTTGATCCTCTATACGTTAAGAACCGTTTCTAGTCGTTCTTTCTTTACTTTACACACCGTTTCAAGATGGTGCTATGATAAATATATTCAAGCACGTTGAGATATTTATTATATTTCATACGGAAACCCTTTTTAGCACATTGATTATATTTAATGAGTTCTTAAATTAAAAGAAAACGATATTTATGCCAAACCTCACGCTTGAGACTATTGACACCAGGGTATACAGGGAACTCGGTGAGAAAACTTTTTTTTTTTTTGTCTTTGAAATTGTGAGATAAATATTCCCGATTTCATCGCTTGTTACTAAGGCCTTGTTCTGTTAGTAATCAAATAGGAACTAAAAACAAAGTGTTCATGAAAGTTATTCTATCCAGCTAGTAGGACAAAAACAACGAAATATGACAAGTAGATTATATTCTGTTTAGCAGTTTAGTATATGGCAAAAAATTGAGGAATTAAACATTCCAATGAAGTTCTTTGTACTTTGGCCTTTTCATTTATTTGTATATAACTTTGTTGACTAAAGTCAAAGGACGGAAAATGTCAGCAGGGAGCATAAGATCGTCCTTAAATTGCAGAAAAGTAACTTTATCTGTTAGTGGCCCTGAACTATATATGTTTGGTGGAAATTCAAACTGTTGAACTTTTAATATATTTATCTTTATTGACCTTGACTGTAACTACCACATGTCTGTTGATTAACGTCCAACGTGCCTGATATTTTTTCAACTGAACACAACATCTACCAGGATTCTGATGAAACCAGTAGTCTGAAACGATTAGCGAAAAGCTCAATGTAAAACGATTCGGATGAAAGAAGAAAATGAAACTACAAAGTGAAACTATAAAGAGGTATTAATACTTCGCTATGCTATAAATTGTTAAAAACTGGTACATTTACTTTACTGAATATTCTCTACAAGTTTGGTAAATAAACTAAGAACTTATAAAATTTCAATCTGACGTACTATTTGCTTATTCACAATATAGACCCAATATTCAGACATTATTCTTTTCTCACAATAGATTGAGTATTCAGATATTAGGAGCAATGCCCTTAACAATATTGATCCAGTATTCAGATTTTATAAAAGATTACTTTCACAATATAGTTCCAATATCCAAATATCACGAGCAATGCCCTTCATAAAATAGATCCAGTAATCTTGTCCTAAATAATGGTATTAGATATGTTTTATCAAGAATGTTTACTTTATTGAAACACACGAAGGGGCGGACGTCGTACTTTTTTGAAGAATAAAAATGTTTATTTTATTCAAAAGATAACATGAAATACGTTTAACTTTGGTTAAAAGATAATATCAAGAACGTATTACCTTCTTTTCTAAAAATACTATGAAAGATGTTTTATCTTGTTTAAGATATAATATCAAGAACGTATTACCTTCTTTTCTAAAAATACTATGAAAGATGTTTTATCTTGTTTAAGATATAATATCAAGAACGTATTACCTTCTTTTCTAAAAAAACTATGAAAGATGTTTTATCTTGTTTAAAAGATAATATCAAGAACGTATTACCTTCTTTTCTAAAAATACTATGAAAGATGTTTTATCTTGTTTAAAAGATAATATCAAGAACGTATTACCTTCTTTTCTAAAAATACTATGAAAGATGTTTTATCTTGTTTAAAAGATAATATAAAAATGATTTACCTTATATAAATAATA